TTGGGATGCACATTGGACATCTAGTCAGCAGCTGGAGTTTTAGGGGAAGCTGGAATTTGAACATGACATTTTTTCTGTCTTTTCATTACAGAATTCTAGAGATTCACGTAACTAGATCCATGTAAGCGTATTACATGTAAGGAACCCCTGGTACCCAGGGCCAGGACCGTCATCTCCTCTTTGCTGGTGTCTTCTATTTGCCTCTCTCACATATAAACACACTGCTGTTTTCCTGCAGTTTTGTTTGTTTTAAGCAAGTCACAGATGTCCTGTCCTTTTATCGATAATTATCCAGGTATGCTAAATTTGGAGGTTGATCATGTTTAGATGATATTTAAAACCCTGGGATTTGCTGAGATCATCCAGGCTGAGGAGTTGGAGAAAATGAGAGATGAAGCTGGGTCTCCTGTGCGCAGGGTCAGGGGAAGGGCAGCACCCTGGAGAGAGGCTGAGGAGCACCCATAGAGGAGGCCAGGAGCCAGAGGCAAGGGAACAAAGGGCTCCCAGAGAGGGGGATTGACTCGAGGTCACCTGAGAAAGACAATGCTTTTTTAAAAGTATTCTTTAGTTGCCAATGGACCTTTATTTTATTTATTGATATGTGGTGCTGAGAATTGACCCGTGCCTCCCACATGCTAGGCAAGCGCTCTACCACGGAGCCACCACCCCAGCCCCAAGACCATGCTTTTTAATCCCCAGGCTTAACTATGTTATGGACACTTCTGAATATTATAGTATAGATTCTATAAGGAAAAGTTTATAAGTACTTATTTGTCTATCTTTTGGGGGGTTGAGGTGTAACTTAGATTGTAAAATGTGTAAAGGACACAAATGTGATGTGTAAGGTCAGAGAATTTTTGCAAATATATATACACATGTAACCACCGATAGCCAGATAGCATTCGTAGGACCTCCGGGATTTCCCTGTGCCCTTTCCCCCCACTCTAGAAGCAACCACAGGCCTGTCACTCTGGATTAGTCGCACCATTTGGAACTTCATACAAATGAAAGCTGACAGCTTGCTTTGTGTGTCAGAGAGCTACTTCAGCACTCTCTGCTTGGGAAAGTCTTCCGTGGCATTGCAAGTAGAGGAGGTTGTTCTCTGAGACTAGCCCTGAAAGGATACCCACATACAGATAATTTTATAGTATTTAAAACAAAAAGACTCTGCATTTCACTTCCAGATGTCTTGCAGTCTAGTGAGTAAGTAATGAGCCTTAAGGAGAAAGGATCAAATTCTTTTTTAAAGTTCCAGTGGAACTGTGCACGCCTGAGATCCCAGCTATTTGGGAGGCTGAGGCAGGATCACAAACTCCAGGCAGCCTGAGCAACTTAGTGAGACCCTGTCTCAAGATTTAAAAAGCCCGGCTCGGTAGTGCATGCCTGTAATCCTAGCCACTCTCCCTCAGGAGGGTGAGGCAGGAGGATTAAGAGTTCAAACCCAGTCTCAGAAATTTAGTGAGGCCCTAAGTATTCCAGTGAGACCTGTCTCCAATAAAATATTAAAAAGGACTGGGGACATGGCTCAGAAGTTAAATGCCCCTGGGTTCAATCCCTGGTACCAAAAAAAAAAAAAAAAAAAATGGTGGAGGTGGGGGTTAGGGATGTACCTCAGAGGTAGAGAGCTCCTGCCTTTCCCCAGGACTGCAAAACCAAACCAAAAGTTCCAGCAAGAAGCACTCTCCTGGGTTTTGTATGTTGGTAAGTATTTCATGCAGCATAAAAACTCCAAATAAGTCTTTGAACTGCTGCTCTGGCCTTGATTTGAACAGCTTCCATTGTGGACCACAGTAAAGACCTGGATGAATCTTGGAGATGTTTGTTTTAAGTGGATGTGGCAGGGAGGACAGAGCCATGGGCAGTCAGACAGAGACTGGAAAAGAAGAGGAGCCCAGGGTATGAGGCAGCCAGGATGGGGAGGTGGGGAGGTCGGAGGAGGAAGATGGGGTCAAACCCTGAAGAGTCCCCAGGTGAGGCTCAGGTTTTGCTGACCCAAAGGAACTCTGCTCTGCTATGGAGAAGATGTGCAGGGTCTTCCAGCCATTGAGCAAGTACACAGCAGGGCAGGCCTCCGGGTTCCTTCCAAGGCTCAAAGTCCGGCAAAAGGAATCACCATAGAGGTCACGATGGTGGTCACTGGGAATGGAGGAGGATATTGACTAGGAGGGACACAGAGGGGTTTTTTTGTTTTGTTTTTGGTACTGGGGTTTGAACTCAGGGGCACTCAACCACTGAGCCACATCCCCAGCCCTATTTTGTATTTTATTTAGAGACAAGGTCTTACTGAGTTGCTGAGGCTGGCTTTGAACTCATGATCTTCCTGTCTCAGCCTCCTGAGCCACTGGGATTACAGGCATGCGCCACCACACCCAGCTACAGAAGAGTTTTAAGTGGCTAGGAACTTCTAGCCTGATCTGAGTGGTGACGGCTCAGGTGAATGTATTTGTAAAAATTAATTGAAACTACACTTAAAATGTGTATACTTTGTGTACATTATATCTCAATAAAAGAAAAAAAAAACAGCTTGCTTGGCCTTGGAGCTAGACTTTAATAGGAGGGGAGTGGGGGCTGTGAAAGATTTTGAGCATGGCAAAGCCCTGGTCAGTTCTGAGTGTTATAAAGGTCCCCAGGGCCACTATGGGAGATGCCTAAAGGGTGAGGCCAGGGGGCTGGTCTCTCTATAATCTTTTTTTCTCTTTTTTTATTAGTTACACATGACAGTACAATGATCTTGACATATCATACTCTCTATAATCTTGGGCAAGCTCTCACCTATCTCTGGGCCTTTTCTTCTCCACCCAGTCTTTATGGGAGTAGAAGCAGAACAGAAATAAGAGAGAGAAGTCACCAAAATTGCCAGAGATTGAGCCCCTAGAAGGAGGAACAGCCCTCTGATTTGTGTCTGCACCCCAACTCCTGGCACAGTAAGAAGCATTGATTTGGTGACAGGGGGTGGAAAGACTTCTAAAAGGGGGTCATGAGGATCTGAGCACCGCTGGGATGGGGGAGGGTAAGTAGGCCAGGCAGACCCAAGGAAATCTAGAACATGGTGTCTCTTCTGTACCCTCTTCCTTCCTTATTCAAAAGCTCCTTTTAGCCAGGTACCATGGTGCACACCTGCAATCCTGGTGATGGGAGGCTGAGACAGGAGGACTGTAAATTTGAGACCAGTCTCAGTAACTTAGCAAGACCCTGTCTCAAAATTAAAAAAAAATTAATCAATAAAAAGGGCTGGGGATGTGACTCAGAGGTAAGGGTTCAACCTTCATAATTGGGTGGTTGGCTGAAGGCCCCTTTTGACCGGTTTTGACCCAGTTTCAGCTAAAACCAACAGAAGGGTGATTACTGTGAAGGTGAGGGACTTTGGGGCCCCAGGTAGTCAGAGGGTTCATTCTGTGACATTTATGCCAGGCCCTTGGCCTTGACAACATGGTAGTTGACAAAAATGAAAATACAGCTGTCCCCGAGCCTGCCTGGGCTAGCTGGCTAAGCGGCGGGGCTCCAGAGCAAGGCTGCCTGAGTCTCATCCTACCCTCCCTCCACCTCTCTGCTATGACTTAGGGCAGGTTTTTTAATCTCTGTAGCTCAGTTTTCTCATCCATAAAATGGGACCAAAGTGCCCACCTTGCCTCCTTTTGTAAGATCGTTAAGGGTTTAGCATGATGGTGGCCCAATAGTTATTAGTGGGCCAGGGACAGGTTCATTGAGGGGCTTCATGGAAGAGGGGACATCTAAGCTGAGCCTGAAAGAGGCCTAGGAAGGAGTCCAGCTGAAAGGGAGTGGAGCACAGGTGCTCGTGGAGGAACAAGTTTGGCCCGGGACTTGGCTACACGGCTAGCCGGGCCTCTTGCTGGGGCGGGTATCTGGTTTCTTCCTGGAGCCCCCCTTTACTCCCCAGCCAGGCTGGGATCCAGAGGAAGACAGCATGTGGTAGAGGCCTCAATTTAGCTCTCAGGGCCAAGGGGCGAGGCTGCCCGGGAACTTTTAGGGAAATCCAAAGATAGCTCAGCAGAGGAGGGTGACTTGCAAGCTCAGCAGAGGAGGATGACTTGCAGCCGAGTTTCCCCTTGAATGGGGGAAGCAGGGGTGAATCAGTGTCTCCAGCAGGAGTGGAGCTGCTTAGGAAGTCAGACCTGGGTTCGAGGCCCCAAGGCTACTTGGCCTCTGACTCACCCCGGGCAGGGCCGGGCAGGGAGGGAAGGCACAGCAGGGACAGGCTGGGTGTGAATCTGGCCTCTGCAACCGGGATGCCTGGCTTCCTAGCTGGGACCTGGGACCAGGCCTGGCCACTCCTGAAACTCAGTTTCTATATCTGTCCGATGGGGTAGGGTGGGGCGGGGAGTGGTTAATGGTGATTGTGCAGGGAACACAAAACTGGGCACCTGACAGGGCTCTGTGGCAGCCCCCTTCCTTTTCCTGTCTGAGCCCCGACAGACGCCTCCTGACCAGAAGTGAAACCAGTATGCGGGCGGTTTGGGCTCCTGCTAGCCTCCTGGTAAGTGAATGAGTCATCCTCTAGGTTCTAGTGAGACACGGATAGAAGGGGGCTCGGCAGAAAAGCAAGAAGAGCAACCACACACTGGGTGTGAAAATCAGTAATAGTAATAACGATTCTCTCTCATGTATTTGGTTCTTACTAAATGCCCAACCGTCTGTGCCACTTCCTGTTTTGATCTTCACAGCAGCTATGTGGGGAGGTAGTGCTATTTTATGGGCAAAGTAAATGTTCAGAGAGGTAAAGCCACTTTCCCTAGGTCACACTGCAAGTATATGGCAGAACCAGGATGTGGAACCCCCCCCCCCCATCTGTCTGAATTCAAGTCAAGGCTCTCTCCTAGCCTCAGATCTGGATGGGGTTGCTGAGGAGCACCCAACTTATAGAGCTGATAGGGCACTCAGGAGGCCTTTTTTTAATAGGTGGGGAAACTGAGGTTCAGACAGGGCAAGGGCCTTCCACGGGAGGATCTACCAGTTTGGAGCATTTATAAAGAAACAGCAACTTCTGGCTTTGTTTAACATTTATTACAAAGTATAAGAGCAGAGATCGGTGAGTTGTGTGCCCCTCGCCATTCCTCCCCACCAGGTATTCTCTGCAGCTCTGGAAAAAATAGTGTCCTCTTTGCTGTCCGCCAGGGGGCGCCGCCCCCTGCCTCTCAGACCCGGTTCCTTCAGCTCTTCCGTCCAGCGGTAACTGAAGCCTCCTAGCACCCTGGACTCTGGGCCCTTCCTGCCCTTCTCCCTGGAGAGCTGGAGTGGGTGGGGAGGCGCAGGTACCTCCACTTCTAACCGAAAGCCAGAGGTCCTCTATAGCAGCACAGTGAGAGTGGTCCTGATGAGGGCGTGTGGGGTAGTGCTGGCCATGTTCCCATCTGGGGTCTCTGGAGGTCCAAGGCTTCCCCTTCAGCCGCATCCCCTGAGGGCTCCTGCCATCGGAAAGTCAACCCACCCAAGGCGGCCCCCATTAGTCCTCACACCTTGAGGTATTTTCTTCACAGGGCTAGGTCAGGAGTGGCAGGGAGGATGCCCTTGACCTCCATCTTGGGAAAGGAGCCTGATTGTCCTCCATGGATCCTGAGGGGAGAGAAAGAGGGAGAGATGGGTGGACAGGCAGGCCAGAGAGGAGAAGGACAGTGAGAGTGGCACTTACCAAGATGGAAGCCGACAGAAGCAGTGGGCGAGGCGGGAGGAAGAGGGTGGGCGGGCTGGCACCAGGAGACCAGGTGCCGGGGGCATTTGGACACAAGCGCAGGCTGCACAGAGCTTGAGTGACCAGGAACAGGCAGAGAGAGAGAGAGAGACCAAGCAAAGAAGGAGGGGGGTCACTGAGGGGCAGGAAGGAGACCAGGGGAGAAGGAGGGGCTCCCTCCTTTTCTCCCAGTCCAGCCCTGAACTCAGAGTCCTTTCCTCCTGGCAGAGCCAGAGCCCAAGAGAAAGTGTGGCCACATGACACTGGCCACAGGTCCCCTTCCTCCGACCTTTCTTCCTGTCCAAGTCCCAGCCCCCTCACCAGCTACGTGGCCTCCTGACTGGCTTCTGGGAGCTGCTGTGGCCCCAGGGCAGTGCCCAGCAGCTCGGTCAGGGCGTCCAGTTTCCCTGCCAAGGCATCGATCCGCTTCTCCAGGGCCCGGTGCGAGCTGCTCAGGCCCAGCTGCAGGTCACACAGGATCATGTGCATCTGGGTGAGAAGAGAGGGTCAGGCGTCAGGGGCTGTCAGGGGCTGGGGTGGACTCCTCCCCACTCCAGCACTGACGAGTCCTTACTGACCCTTGAAGATTATCCTCAGTTATAATTGTTGCCCTTTCTTAAAGACCCAAAGCCCAGAACCTCTTAAAAGCCACAGGGAGCAGGAATCCTGTTCCCATCTTATAGCTGAGGAAACTGAGGCACGGAGCACCTAGAATAGGACCTGGCACATAATAGATGCTCATTAAATACCTGTGCAATTGATAGGCCTGGCTTCGAAATCCTGACAGCCCATTTACTGCACTCCCAAACTGGGGATTCACAGTGTGATTCCCGAGGCTCTGTGAGCTTTCTTTTTCTTTTCCATTTTTTGGTGCTGGGAATCGAACCCAGGGCCTTATGCATACAAGGCAAGCACTCTACCAACTGAGCCATATCCCCAGCCCCTGTGTGAACTTCCTATGGGAATTCTTGAATGCTGTGTTTTGAATTCAATAATCTTCAGAAATGACAACCGGCCCGTTCTGGCAGACCTGGGCCATCACCTCCTCACTGATACCTGCCATGATGTTTTTTTAAAAATATTTTTAATTGTAGATGGACACAATACCTTTATTTTATTTATTTATTTATTTTTTTCTTTTAATGTGGTGCTACGGATCAAACCCAGTGCCCCACGTGTGCCAAGCAAGCGCTCTACCACTGGGCCACAACCCCAGCCTGGCCATGCCGTTTTGGGGCTTGAATCTGTGACTGTGTTTACCATGGCATTGGTGCCAAGAGCCACTGTTTGAACTGTCGTGGCCTAATGAGAAAAAGCAAAGGCCACCACATTAAGAAAAGGTGCCACGAACCAGACCAAGGGCGAGTGACGTCACTGTCCCTCAGCACTGGTGGAATCAAATGGTTTGAGCGAGCCAGGTGACACACACCTAGGCTGGCAGGCAGCCTGGCCCAGCACGGGGCCCCTTCAACAGTGAGCATCCCCTTCACAATGGATTGAGTTTTACTGAAACAATGTCACCTGTATTCTTGTCAGTGCTCCTAAGTTGAATTTTGCCATCTGTTTGTTCTTGATTTGTAAATTTGCTTTGGTTTTATTGTGTAAGAGTCATTGTTGGAAAGAATTTTATATCCGTCCACATGTAAGTAACTTGATAATAAAGATAATTTGAAATCAAACATTGGGGTGGTTGTTTTTTTTTCCCCGGTACTTGGGATGGAACCCAGTGCCTCACACATGCTAGGCAAACACTCTACCACTGAGCTACATCCCCAGTCCTTTTTAAAACTTTTGTTTTGAAATGGTCTCACTAAGTTGCTGGAGCTGGCCTCAAATTTGATATCCTTCTGTCTCAGCCTCCCAGGTCACTAGGATTACAGGCGTATGCCACTGTGCCTGGCACAATTTTATTTTTTAAGTTCAGAAGAGGATCTGAATTTTACATAAATATAAGTAGCTTTGTTCTGCTTTATTCCTTTCTTCATTCCTTCAACCATAAGCCTTTACTGATCACCTACGTGTACCAGGCTCCTGCCAAGGCCCCCCCCACCTTCCCTTTTTTTTTTTTTTTTTTTGGTACTGGGGATTGAACCCAGGGGCACTTTACCACTGAACCACATCTCCAGGCCTTTTTATTTTTTATTTTGAGACGATCTTACTAAGTTGCTTAGGTCCTCATTCATTTGATCCTCCTGCCTCAGCCTCCCCAGTTGCTGGGCTTATAGGCGTGTGCCACTGCACCTGGCAATACTATTTTATATTATTATTATTATTATTTTGGTACCAGGGATTGAACCCAGGGGCATTTAACCACTGAGTCACATCCCAGCCCTTTTTGTATTTTATTTGGAGACAGGGGCTCACTGAGTTGGTGAGGCTGGCTTTGAACTTGTCCACCTGCCTCAGCTTCCCAAGCCACTGGGATGTGTGTGGGCCACCGGGCCCAGCTAAGATCCCCTATTTTAGAGCCAGATGTCCCTGCCAGAGGCCCAGCCTCCCCTTCTTCCAGACCTGGTACCTTGGAGATGTCCACCATGGAGTTCACTTGCTCTCGGAGCTTTCGGTGTTTCAGCCGCACCTGTCGGAACCTGTGGGGGGAAGCTGGGAGTCGGTTTTCCTACAACCTGGTCCCCAGCTGGCCTTAGCTGAGGGGTGGGACGAGGGGAGCAGAGACGAACATGGACAGAGCACAAAGAAGAGGTGTGCCTGAGAGCCTGAAGGTGCGGAGGAGCCCCCACTCTGCAGCAGCCCGAGACTCCAGGCCCACAGACGCATCCAGCCACATCCAGACCGAGATCCCCGACATTTGCTGAGCGAGACCACACGTGGGTGTCCTGACCTGGACACGCATGGGCATGCACACACACAGCCACGCAGAGAGGGGACAGGACACACAGCTGCCCTCACGTGTGGATGGCGGCCAGCAGCTTGCGCTGATGCCTGCGGGCAGCCCTGGAGTCCTTCCTGCGCGTGTGTTTGTAGTACATCCAGGCCTCCTGCAGCAGGCGGGCAGCTGACTCCTTCATCTGGCAGCGGGTGGCACAGAGTCAGTGGACACAGACCTGAGGGCTCTGCGAAGGGGGCACTCCCGGGAGCTGGCACAGGGAGGGAAGGGCCCTGCTCTGGGTGGCCTGCGCCCAGCCTACCTCTTTGGCATAATGGATGTCCATCATGAAGTTGTGCACGTGCTTCTCGGCCTTGTTAAACTCTAGCTTCCGGGCCACCACGGCCACCAGCAGGGCTGTGCAGCACACCCCCTGTGGGCACAGCAGGCACTGTGGCGTGAGGCTGTGGGGCTCTGGGGGCCAGCCCTGTGCCACCAACCCTCTCTTGAAACCTCCCAGCAGTCACAGGGGGCAGGGACAACCATCCCCAGGTGACAACCGGAAAAGAGGCTCTGAAAGGACCCACAGCCCAGAGCGCCCAAAACAGGGTCAGAAAGTGCACGTGTCTGAGTCCAGAGGCTCTGCATAGCGGGCACACCCCACCAGTATGGCCTCTTTCATATCGGAAGAAGAAGAGCTGGTCGAGAGGGGCAGACCGCGGGCTCCCAAGGGGCCCCTTCTCACTACTCATTCTTAGTCGGCCATCAGGTCCCTGGGAGTGACCCTCACACTCCTGAGGTCTCTTCCCAACTCATTTCCCTCCAGGACAATCTTCAGCCCAGCCCCCCACTCACCCTGCTTGACCCGCGGGAGTCCTGACACCCTATTATGACCTTGCGCCCCTCACTCTAAACCCCACCTGGGCTCCCACTTCCCTGAACTTCTCAGCCTGGCTCTGGGGGCCTTCTTCGGTCCAGGCCTCAGCCCTGGCTGGGCTCTCCCTCACCTGCCTGAGTGCTCTCCGCTGAACACTTTCCTGGGCCTTCAGGGGCCTGTCAAATCCTTGCTGCTCCGTGGCCTCTGCCCTCTCTCCCTGGACTTGGAATGAACCCTCCTTGGAAGCTCCCCCGTCCCGTGTCTCAAGTCTCAATCACTCAGAGCGGTTCACTAGTCACCAACCCGGGCTCCCAGGACTGCCTAGGTCCAAGCCCAGTTCTGAGCAAGTCATTTATCTCTCAGGATTTCCATTTCTTATCTGAAAATGGGCACGCCCTCTGTGGAGTGTCACTGTGAACTCCATGAGTTGACACCTGGCAAATGTTTGGGGCAGAGACTGGCACAGGTATGTCCCCAGTAAAAGTAAGCCATCATCCACCGCACGGTGGAACCTTGGGCCAGGAGGGGGCTGTGAGCCTCACGTGCCTTATCTCTCTGGGTCTCAGTTTCTCCTTCTGTCAGGTGAAGGAGGAGGTCCCATTCAGTCCCAAGGGGCCTGGCCCTTTGGGAGCATTTTCCTGGCTAAGTCTCTGCCCCTCTTTCCTTGTCCTGAAGACCCACCACTGGGGCGGGGGTGGGGGCTCACATTTCCCTGCCCCCCATTCCCTGTTCTTATGGACCCAGGGCTTAGGCATTCAACATGTCCTCCCTAGGACATCAGAACTGGAGGCTCAGATGTGGGAGGGCAGAGGGAGCCAGATCTTGTGGGGAGATGAAGACCAGGGCATTGGGGGCCAAGCCCTGGGGTGGGATGGGGCTATGGTGTGAAGGAGCTGGATGGCTGGGTTCAGCAGGAAGCTTGAGCCTGGGGCTGAGGGGGCCTCAGTTTCATCCTTGAGAGCACAGGAACTGGGGCGGGGGCAGCTGTGTGTCTGGGACCAGTTATAGTAATGGTGCTCTCCCAAAGTCCCATTTACTGAGCTCTTCCTGTGTGCTAGGCACTGTTTGAAGCCCTTTACATGGTTTAACTCATGTAATTGTCTCAGCACCTGATGAGGAGTACACCAGCATCGGCATCCCCATTTTACAGATGAGGAAATTGAGACCTGGAGATTTTGCAGCTTGCCTAAGATCCCCAGCTGAGAAGCAGAAGTGGAGATTTGAACCCTTGGAGCCCGGTCCCAAAGGCATGATCCTGGTGATGACCCTAAACCCTTGATAGAGGTTAAGAGACCAGATCCCCAGGTTCTAGAAGCAAATGGGCTGGGAAATCAGGAGTCAGGGGTCCCTGGGGCAGGAACAGGTCCTAGGATCATGGTCTATGGTCCTAGGTTCTGGAGAGAGCAAGGACTTAGTGGCTGGATTCCTTGGTCTCAAAGAAAATGGTTTTGTGTCTGGGTCCCTGAGAGGGGATAAGGCTGGGTGGGGAACAAAATTTTCATGAGGTGTCCCTGAGAACCCGTGCTGGCTCCATGGTTTCCTGGGGCTCTGAGGATAAGCAGTTTGGAGGGGGCAGGGTTTCTAGGGACTTGGACTCACCATAACTCCAGTGCAGAGACAGACAATCTTGCCCCACATGGTACCTGGCACCACATCCCCATAGCCAATGGTCAGGAACGTGATGGGGATCAGCCACAATGTGTCTGAGAGGTGCCCAGTGGCATTAACAGCCTGCCTATGGGAAAGGATAGGTTAGTTCTGAAATCCCACCCTAGAAATGACCAAGATGTTTGCTCCCCTCCACCCGCCATGTGCTCTCCCTCCCCATCCACACCTAGTCCCAGGATGAACCTGGGCAGTAAGTTCTAGGCTTTGGAGAGCCTCCTTTCTGCTATGCTTAGCCACTCTGGGCTGTGGGATTTGAACTTGAGCCTGGCCAGTTCCAAAGCCTGCATCGAGGCGGTCAAGGGGTTGGCAGAGAATGTGTGGCTAAGGACTGAGAGGGGACTGAAACCCTGCCTGAAGTCAGACCTGACAGGGTTGCACTCACCAGGAGAAAGGAGTACCTTTTTCTAACTTCCACAAAGGTGCTGCATGGCCTACAAGTGGCCTTATAAAAACCCAAAAGGTGGAACTCTAAAAAATCTGTCCCTTGCTGAAGATCACCAGGTGTGGTGGCACTTGCCTGTAATCTAAGTGACTTGGGAGGCTGAGGTAGGAGGATTGCAATTTCAAGGCCAGCCTGGGAAACTTAGCCAGACCCTCTCTCAAAAATAATAATAATAATAATAATAAAGGGCTGGGGATGTTGCTCAGTGGTAGAGCACCCCAGGTTCAATCCCCAGTGTGACAGAACAAAATAAAAACCCTGAGTTTTATACAGTTTCCAGGTGGCAGCCAGAACCCAATTCCCTGCAGGGACTTTCCAGAGTAGCTGCAAACACCTCCTTTCCAGGCTCACAGCAAATTCCTACAGGACCTCTATGCTAATTTGGAACAGCTGTCCCCTTCCTCCAAGGCAGATGCAACTGGTAGCCTGGGTTTGGAGGCTGAGCAGGTGCCCCGAAGTCCGAGATGGGAGAAGGGGAGCCAGAAGGGTGGGCTGCCTGGGGTCTGGGGGGGGGGAGGGCAGGCGCTGAAGGTCATCTGTGGAGCACTGGCTTGGATTGCTGTGTGGATGGGGACGTGAGCAAGGATGGAAACTGACCTGTCCCCACCGTTGGCGTCCACCTGCACCACTCTGAGCCACCCGCCTCCCTCCCTAAGCCGCAGGACCCTCACCTCTCCGCCACCGAGAGCACCCAGGCTGTGGTGAGCCAGAGGCCAAGCGTGAGGCCGAGCAGCAGGCGGCCCGGGTGCGTGTTCATGTACAGCTTGGCCACGAACCAGTGGCGGAAGCGGACCTGGTTGAGAGCACCGATGCTGCGGTAGGACGCGTTGAGCAGGACGCCGCTGCGCAGGAGGACCGCGCGGGGCACCAGGTAGAGGCGCAGCAGCATGGCTAGTGACAGCAGCGCCTCCCCCTCGCCCAGGAAGCCCGGCCAGGGCTGCGTCCCCTTCTCGCCCGACCCCGTCGCGCACGGCGGGCCCCGCAAGGGTGCAGGGTGCAGCCCGCACACCGCCAGCTCCAGCACGATCTGCGCCGCCTGCCGCGGAGTCAGCGCCACGCGCCAGTCCCGGAGCCCGTTGTCAGTCATGAACAACTGCCGGGAAGGGCGACAGGGAGGGGGTCAGGTGCAGGCCGGGCGGCGGCCCGCCCTCTCTGCACCTCGAGATAAGGTGGGGCGTCTGCTGGGCCCTGGAGAGAGAGATAGCAGTAGGGCGTCGAGCTGGACAGGGCTGGGGAGGGAGCTGGGCAGGATCCGAAGACCTCTCTCCACTTTCTCCACCAACCCTTAGTTTCTGCCCCCTTCCAGAACTTTCATGAACATTGACTGAACGCAGGCTGTGTGCCCCGCCATGTCCTATATGCTGAGGATTCGAATCGAACAAAACAGAAACCTCTTCCTCTTTGGAGTTTATAGGCACATTCCTGAGGCGGCTTTTAATCCTGTTCTGGGAACACATGTAGTAATTGTTCTAGCAATAACATCAGGGGAATCAACAGTCAAGATTTATGGGGCACTTCTCCCCTTTATGTGTTGTGCCTCAGTAGTGCTATGACACAGTGAAAGGGATAGTACCTCCATTTTATAGATGCAGCAATGGAGGCCCAGATGCTTCAGGTGGGCGGTGGCACACTTAACTATTGCTGAGAGTGCTGTTGCTGTGGCAGCTAAAGCCACTTAACTATGGCTGTTATTTTTATTCATTTTTTGCAATGCCTGAGATGGAACCAGGGCCTTTGGTATGCTATGCAAGCACTCTATCACTCAGCTACGCTCCCAGCCCCTCTAACACCTGCAATTAATGAGAATGATAATCTGTACCCTTTTACTAAGTACCTCTCATGTGCCAGGCACTGCACAGGGGCATTTCCATGCATGACCAATTTAAGGCCATGGTATAAAGAGAGAGGAAATGGAGCAATAGGACCTGGGAAGATGGGTCTGGGGAGACCGGAAGTGGGGGCATGGGGGTGCAAAGAGTTCCTCCATCTGGGGAAATATTGAGCCAGAAATGGGGAAATCAGGGGCAGGTACTAGCTAGGACCTTAGGTGACTTGCAGCTGGAATTAGTGGGAACAAAGATGGAAGACAGATCTGGAGGCTGGGCCTGGAGTAAGGTGGCCTGGGGCAGAGCGCAGCTGGCAGGCAGCAGGGCTGGAAGGGTAGGACTCTCTGCATCATGAGTGTGTAAGGGGGAGACCAGGGGCTGCTGGTGGGGGAAGGGCCAGGGCTGCCCTGGGAGGTTCTGTCCTACTGTCCTTCTTAGTGGGCAAGGGTGTGAATACATCAGAGGGTGGAGGAGCTTCAGATCAGGAGGAGAAGGTAGAACGTGTGGGCTGAAAGAGCACAAGGACACGTGGGGTTTAGGGTTGCAAAGCTCAGGGGTAGCAATGACCCTACCTGGATCTCTTTGGCATGGAAGGCCACGATCAGGCAGAGGAGCAAGATGGTGGAAATGCTGATCATGCACTTGACCAGGAATAGGTAGAGGGCCCACTGTAGGAAGGATAGAAAACACGTGAGGTCCAGGTCTCCAGTCCACCAGTCCCCTGTACCTTCCTTGGAAACCACCATCCCTTCCATTCCCCATTTCCTAGCCCCTAGACCAGTCATTCCTGGTGTTTCAGTTCAGAGACATCTCAGAACCATTATGTAGTCCCCAGGGAGATGCTGTCTTCCTTCCCAAATGGACAGCCCTGTCCCAGATGCCATGTTCATCTTCCTTCGTTCTTCTCCCTGGATTCAGACCCCCTGAAGGGAGACCTTGAAGCTCATGCACTTTGTTATTCTCCTGTCCCCTTCCAGTAAAAAATACTGCCTGGGTTATATTTTTCTTCAGAGCGTCTAGAAAAAGACCTCTGGCCTCCCCTTCATTCCTACCCAACTGATCCTGCCCTAGAATCAATGTCAATGCTCACCCAATTCCAGAAGAGACTAGAAACCACCATTCAACCCCCAAGAACACGACACCCTTCCCTGCTATCTTCCATGAGACTGAATCCTTGAGACCCCAGCCCCAGGTCTTAGAATGCCCCCCAGTTCTGCCCCCTGCACCTCCTCCTCCCCTCTCTCCTGGCTCCAAGCCCAGGGCAGATCTAGCCGGAAGCACAGGGCCTCCAGAAACCACGAGAACTCTTTTTTCCTCTCTTTGTGTGACAATACCTTGGAGGAATCTAGAATTCTAGAGGGGGAGATTTAGAGGGGACTGCTGAATTCCCTAAGAAGGGTTAGTTTGGGGTATACTGTCAGGGGAAGGGGCCACCTGCCCACCCCCCCAGCCCTACACCTGTTTCTCCTAAGGCTGCCAGCTCCCCTGGTTGGACCTAGGCCAGGACTCCGCCTCTGAGCAGGGGAAGAGGGCCAGTTTCCTGCCCCAGGGGGCCTCCCCCCATCCCCTCCCTGAACAATGGTGCTGTTGTCCCTAGCCCTCCCCCACCCCTTCACCCTTCCAGGGCTCCCTGGTTCCCTGTCTGTCTTCAGTGTGTCTCAACCTCATCTCATTCAACAGCACCCCCCTCCCCACACTGCAGTGCACCTCTCTGGTGGCCCTCTCTACTCTCCCACTGAAACTGTCTCTACTTGGACCCTTACCCCTTTGAATTCCCCTTTCTCTGGGGATGGTTGTTTTGAGATCTCTCTTTCTGGTGGACTTTCTGCCACTCCATATGGATTTCTCAGTGATTCCCAAGCTCTATTTATGTTGGTGGCTGTCCCTCTCTGTCCCTTACTGCCTCTTTATCTCTGTCTCTGTCTCTCTCTCCATTCCTCCCCTCCCAAGCCAAGACACCTATCATTTTTAAAAAATATTTTGTTAGTTGTAGCTGGACACATACCTTTATTTTATTTACTTGTTTTTATGTGGTGCTGAGGATCGAACCCAGTGCCCCACACATGTGAGGCAAGCGCTCCACCACTGAGCCACAACCCCAGCCCCAAAGACACCTATCTTGTTCCCCTGTCCTTCCCAGGCTTTGGCGCTTCTTCCTGCAGCCCCTCCCCCAGGACAGCAGGTGTCTGGGACCTTGCAAAATGAGCTCATTAGCTGAGATGGAGGTGCAGAGGGGACAAGGAAGTTATCAAGGCAGTCATTGAAAGGAAGCGGAGGAGGGCCCGCTGCTTGTGTGAGAACTGTGGATCAGGGATGCAGCAGCTTTCCCAAGGTCCCACCCACGGACTGGACGCAGTGGCAGGTGGTGGAGGGAAGGAAGAAATGCGAGGTGAGGACAGGGAGGAAGAGAGTGGGATAGGAAGGACCCCCTTGCCCCTTCCCATCTGCCAGGCTCCCCTGCCCCACCTCCCCTGCTGGGCGCGGTCCTGAAGTGTGGGAGCGCCGCATAGGCCCCGGCCATGCTTCCTGTTGGCATGGGCTTCGGCTGCCCCACCTCCTCACTGCCGCTGCCCTCTCCCTGGCCGCCTGGCCAGAGGAAGCTGGCCTGCCTTGACCTCCGTGTGGCTGCCGGTTCCTCCAGAGCTGCCCACTCCCCCATCCCCAAATCTAAGACTGAGCTTCACGTCCCTGTCTTTAGCAGCCGGGTCCACAACCCTGAGCCCAGACAGGGCTTCAACCTCTCCTTTCCTGTGGGCAATTCCGTTCCCTCTCAAGCCACTGATTCAGACCCTTGTCCTCCATCTGTCCCTATCACTGCCCAGACCAGGGCTGGAATGTGCCCGTAGCCTGCTGAGACCTGTTCTGGCCCCACCTACCCCCCTCAGAGTCAGCCCTTTCCCCCAAAGAAGTGTGGGAGCACCTAAGCCTCCTGCTCCCTCAGACTCCGGAGCCTCGGCTCAGCCCCCTCTCCCGGGGACCAAGGAGTTCAGGCTACACCAACCTGCCTCTCACTGCCTCCCAGGTGAGGAGCACGCAGATCTGGGGGAAGCTGGGCTTCTAAGTGACGGTGATGGGGGACGGGAGGTGCTTCCACTTCCCACCCCCACCCCGGTCACTGTTCTGGGCTCTGCCCCTGGCAGTCCCGGCAGCGGGCGAACGTTAGATAAGGAGCCGCCGCCTACTGGGAGAAGTTCGCCTTTCTCTCCACCCTCCCTGCACCGAGGCCGGGGCCATGGGGTCAGCCTTCCTCTGACCTCCACGGGGCCTGCACCTCCAGGGGTCCGGTTACAACTTTTTCAAAGACTGAAACACTGTGACCCTGTTCCCTCCCCAGCTCTTGCAGGGAGAGACCCCCACATTGAACTCCCCAAGGTCTCAGGAGCCAAGGCCCCAAGTCTCCTCCTCCCTCAGACCCAGAGATCCAGAAACTCACCCCTCCTCCCTCAACCCAGGGGTCCACGCCCAGCCCTCCTCCCTCCGACCCAGGGTCCAGCTCCAGCCCCCGCCCTCAGCCCAGGGGTCCGACCCCAGCCCTCCCCTCTCAGAGCCAGGGGTCCAGGCCCAGCCTCCCATGCCCCGGCGCGAAGGCTGCACTCACCGGGCACCCCCCAAACCACAGCATCTCCGCGTGCAGCACCATGAGTCCGATGCCAATTCCCGCCAGCGCCAGCGCCCAGCCGGCCAGCCACTTCTCCTGCTCCAGCAGGCGCTTTCGCCGCCGCAGGGCCCCCAGGCCAGACACCAGCTCCCCGCCCATGGCCCCTGAGGTCTTGGGGCTCAGCCAGCTTCCTGCCCAGGGTCCCCCACCTCGTAATACGCAAATGGCAGCCACTTTGGCTTCCAGGCGGGCGGCCGGCTCTGCTCGCACTGGGGCTTTGGCTCCGAGGCACCGCGGAGCCCTGTGCCCTCTGGGGAGTGGTAACGTTGGCGGCTGGGCAGGGCGGGGAGGGGCAGGGGAGGTCCCTGGGTAGGGGGAGGCTCCCCAACCCCCCTTTCCAGACTAAGGAGGGGCTGGGGTGTGTCTTGGGGCAGAGCTAGAAAGAGGCATCCATCCACGTGGGAGAGACACACACTGCCACACAGGGGCTGTGACCAGAACGGTCTGCACCTTGTGATACCACCTACACCCACCACACCCAGACACCACAGGACACCCCCGGCCGGAGAGGGAGCCTAACACACTGGGGCCGGCGACACAACCTTCAGAGTGACTCACAACTCCCCACAAACTGAAATCTGCAGCCACACCCAGACACCACACACATGGTGTGACACACGCCGGCACTTAGCAAGGCAGGCAGTGTCCCTGGCCCACACGGCCACCCAAATATTGTCCCCACACAAGCACAAGCATTACATTCAAAACTGCCACAATATTCTCTGACACAGTCACACCCAGACATCACACCTAGGGCAATGCCTATCTGTAGCCATACAAACACAACAAGCACTACACAAACACACAATACGTATTGACACAGTGATACCCAAACGCCACTACACCCAACACATACAAGGCACTCGTGGTGTTCCGCACGCCACACACCCATGTAGCGACACCCAGTACACACAAACACACAACACCTAGGCACATGGCCATGGCAGCCCCCGGCCACACAACTCATAGAGAAACACACACTGACACACATCGCAGTGCATGGCCATGCCAACGCACATGCTCATGAGGATGATTCACAATACACACTGATTCACCCGGACACACAATGTGCCCCAGTGTACAGCGTGGTTCAAATGCATGGTCAGAGACCCAGATCAATGGATGCCTGCTGAGACAGACACAGGCATACCTAAGGGGACCCAAGCAGCACAATGTATCCTTTCTTTTTTTGGTACCAGAGATTGAACTTGGGGATACTTAACCACTGAGCCCCATCCTCGGCCCTTGTTATTTTTTATTTTAAGAAAGGGTCTCACTAAGTTGCTTGGGGCCTCACTAAGTTGCTGAGGCTGGCCCCGAACTTGCAATCCTTCTGCTTCAGTCCCCCATACTGCTGGGATTACAGGCGTGTGCCACCACACCTGGCCAGACTGGTTCATCTTGACCACACCAAACACAACCGGGGATGATTACCCTGAGGTGGAGGGATTATGCCCCAAATGTAACACACGCCATCCCCTCTGACCCACAAGCCACAACTGAGCGTCACATATGACACCCGCACGCGCTGTATTTCAAGATGTGTGGTTGCACAACCACAAAGCATAAACAGTCGTATGTAAACATATGGCGACACAACATACTGACCCATTTCCCAAGAAAAACAACCTTTCACAAACAACCACCTGTCACATAAAACACCAGATGTGCCCCCATTGATTGCAGCCCACACCAGGGTGGCAACAAGACCACCCAGGACCCCAGACAAGCTCATCCACAACCACACAAACACAACACACCTTGAGTGTTCCCTGGCAGGGAAGGGAGAGGCCCCCAACAGGGCATACACCCGGATGTAAGATGCAGGATCGCAACGCTGAGTGATACACAGTGTCACACACACAAGTTCCACAAAGAGACACAACACACACTGACACACAGCAGCAGTGTCAAATGTGGTGCAGTGTGACCCATAGTGACTCCCAGATCGATGTGCAGCAGGGAACACATACGTCCACACACTGTGTCTGCACACAAATCAGAACCTACCCATGGTGACACAGGGACACACTGACGTGGTCACACAAAACACCTCACACAGCAGCGCACATCAACCTCACCATGCACGGGACTCCTGCTCTCCGAGGAGCGTGTAGAAATAACCCTTCTGCCTCCCGTGTCCTGTGCCACGCAGGACCCAGGACCTGCCAGCCACAGGGAAATCAAACACTCGCGGACAGACGTCTGGCACCACACCAAGGCAACCCACAAGGACACACCCAGAGACACCAAACCACACACACAGACACGCCCGGTGACAAAAACACAACCCCTGGGGGTGCCTTGCCATGGGGCTGGGCACACTGTTCCTGATTACCACTCGGTGACATACATGCGGCCAGCGGCGGGAGAAAGATGGAGACACACCCAGGCGCACCCAGACACCACGCTTGCGTCTCCTTGGAGAAAGTGCAGCCACCGGGCGGGTGCTCCTGCTCCTGGAGAAAGTCCGTGCCTGGCCGCCCGCACCCTCCCTCAGCACCTCTCCTCCCTCTTCCTGTCCCTGGCTCTCACCTCTGACTCCTTCCTCAACTTCTCCCGCTCTGGGCGCCTCTGGGTTCGCTTTCTCTCCTGTGTCTGTCTCTGTCACGCTCCCTCTCTAACTATGTCCCTGTCCATAGGTCTGTTTCCATTGCCTCTCTGTCTCCCTGTCTCACTGTGTCTCAGCCTCTTTGTGTCTCTGGTCTCCCTTGTATCTCTGTCTGGGTCTCCTTCTTTGGTCCCTGGTTTTCTATTTCATTCTCTCTCTCTCTGCACCTCTGCATTCACCATTGTCTGTGTTTCTCTCTCTCTCTCTCTCTCTCTCAGGATTGAACCCAGGGGCACTTGCCCACTGAACCCCATCCCTAGCCCTGTTTTGTATTTTATTAGAGACAGGGTCTCACTGAGTTGCTTAGCGCCTCACCATTGCTGAGGCTGGCTTTGAACTCATGATCCTCCTGCCTCAGCCTTGGGAGCTGTACATTTTTTGTTTTGAGACAAGGTCTTGCTAAGTTGCTTACAGCCTCATTAAATTGCCGAGGGAGGCTGGCCTTGAACTTGCCATCCTCCTGCCTCAGCCTGCCAAGCCGCTGGGATGACGGGCGCGTGCCACCCCACACTGCTTGTCTGTTTCTTTTTCCACCTGTCTCTGCTCTATGGGCTTCATTCTGTCCCTAGGATTCTTTTTCTGTCTCTGTCTCTTGCTGAATTGAGGTCTCAGTCACTTTTTTTCTGTCTCTGTCTCACTCCCTACCTCCAGGTCTCCCTCCCCCACCCCCAGCTTGTCTTTGGGTTTCCCTCTGCTCTTCATTGGCTCCCCTGTGGACAGCCCCCCCCCCCCCTTCCAACTTGGTCCTGGTCCCATTGAGGAGCTGAGGCCCAGAGAAACATTATGACCCATGTAAGAGCCAAAAGCCACAAAACAGCTCCAGCTTCTCCACAGCTTCTGTCCCCAGCTTCAGGTACTTTTGAGAAACTGACAGAGACTGACCCAGAGGGTGGGAGAGGACAGTCAGAGAGACTGAGTGGGACAGCCAAAGAGAGATGTAGGAATCAAAGTGGGGAGAGGTCAGCTCAATGGCAGAGTGTGCTTGGCATGCACAAGGTCCTGGGGTCCACTCCTGGCACCACAGATACACAAGACAGGAACAACGAAAATCAGAGAGATGGAGGGAGAAGGGACTCAGAAGTGAAGAGAAAGAAAAAAGTAGAAATTTTGTCTTCAAAGAAACCGCAACTAACAAAGAAAAACAGGGAAGACTGGACAAGGGAGAGGCCTGAGCGGGCAGCCCTGAGGGTCATGGTGGGAAGGGGACCTGCCTTCAGCTGCTGAAGTTCTGGGCAGCAGGGTTCCGTGGGTAGGAAACAGCACTACCAGCCAGGCTCTCCAGCCCAGGGAGGGGCGTGGGGGCCGTGACTCAGGGCCCCAAAGCTTCCTGTGACTCAGCCTCCATCCCAACCCTGAAGGGGGAGTGGAGGGAGACAGGGTCTCTGTAAAGAAAGGGAGAACGAACACCAGAGGATCTCAGTGAGTAAGAGAAGGGACCAAGGAGGGCCTGGGGCCTGGACGCCTGAGTCTGAGGAAGGGGGGCCGGGGCCTGGACCCCTGGATCCGAGGGAGGAGGGGCTGGGGGCCTGGACCCCTGGGTCTCAGGGAGGAGGGGGCTGGGGGCCTGGACCCCTGGGTTTCAGGGAGGAGGGGGCTGGGGGCCTGGACCCCTGGGTCCGAGGGAGGAGGGGGCTGGGGGCCTGGACCCCTGGGTCTCAGGGAGGAGGGGCTGGGGGCCTGGACCCCTGGGTCTGAGGGAGGAGGTACTGGGGTCCAGACTCCTGAGTCTTAGGGAGGAGAGCTGGAGCAGGCCTCCTGGGTCTGAGGGAGGAGGGCTGGGGGCCTGGACTCCTGGGTCCCAGGGAAGAGGGAACTGGATCCCATACTCCGGGTCCAGGAAGACTAGAAGAACTGATTCAGAAGTTCCCAGGGCTTCTCCCTGGCCTGGTCCCAGCTGCCCCACCTTCAACCTAGCCCCATCTCCGGGCCTGGAAGGGACCCAGGTGCCTTAGGGCCCGGCCGGAAGGGGCCAAGGACAAAGAGTTGTTTAACTGGGAAGGGTGGTGGAGGGGACTGAAGAAGAGGGTGTCTCAGTGGAAAGGTCAGTTGTCGCCCAGGGCTGGTGCAGGGGAAGTCGGCAGGGCTGAGCCCCGGGGAAGACATCCTGAAAGTCAGAGGCCTGTGGGGGCCAATCCTCCAACCACTGTCTTTGGGACCTTGGCATTGGCGGGCTCAGGGGACTAAGGAGACTCCCACCTTGTGGTGGTTTTGGGAACTGCAGGCCCTCTGTTTACCCAGTTCTTGTAATTGAGCCTTCCTGAGTGCCAGGCACTCTGTTCTAAGAACTGGGGAATATCATGATTAAGAAAGTAGGCAACAGACCTGCCCTCGTGATGCTTCCAGGTTCCGGAAGACAGACCTCGTGGTTAGTTGACCTCAGTCTCTCATTTTCACTCAGTCTGTCACTGGACTGACTTCTCTGTTTCTCTTTTGGTCTGAATCTCCACGAGCATGCCTTCCTCCTTTTTCTTTCTTTCTGTGTTTATTGATTTTTTTCCCCTTTTTTTATCTGTGTTTCCCACCAAATAAGAATCGTGTAAGTTATTATATTAACATGCATACATATGCACATGTACACACACACACAAAGTCCTAGAGACTTTAGTTTTGTCTCCATGTGAATCTTAGGGAGGAGGGCTGGAGCATGCCTCCTGGGTCTGAGGGAGGAGGGGCTGGGGGCTCCTCCTCCCTCAGACTTTACCCTGCATGGGATCTAACATACATACAGCCTGCTTTAGAGAGACCTGAGTTCAGTCCAGCTGCTGTCCCTAGCTGGGTGTCCTGAGCCTTGTGAAATGGGGATGATAATTACGCTACCTCTGTCATAGGGCTCCTTGAGGATAAGGTGAGGTACACTGTCAGGAGCCTGCAACACAGGACCTGGTTTATGTATTTAGCACCTGTGGTACATTGGGTCCCAGGCTGGCTGCTAATGGTTCCTTCCCTGGCTGTCCTGGCATGTGTCTTCTCCCACCAAGAAGTACAGTCCCCTCTCCTTCTGTCTGTCTTTGATGAATAGAATGTGGCATAAATGATGCCAGCTAGTTCCAGGTCCAGTTGTCAAGAGCACAAGAGACTTCTGTTTTTGTGCTCTTCAAACTTTAAAGCCACCATGCTGTAAGGAAGCCCAAGCTAATCCCTTGGAGAGGGACTATCAGAGGAGAATCAAAACCTGAGCAAAACCTCCAATCTAGCCCTTGCAGAAAGTAGCCACATGAGTAACCTCATGAGACAGACCAGAAGAAGGGCCCAGCTAACCCTCAGAATCACGAGAAATGATACTTTTTTGTTGTTGATTTTAAATACTAAGTTTTAGAGTGGCTTGTTATACAATAGTAGCAAATAGTATATTCTTCTGTTCACTTCTGTATGTTTGAAGTTTTCCACAACAAAAGGGTACATATATGAACATGCGTGTACATATGTGTGTATACATAATACATGTATATACATATGAATCAATAATGGAAATTGCACTCCATGAATTGTAGCCAGTACAGTTTTGCTTCTGTTTGCCTCTGAGTCTTTCCAGTAAATCTCTGCTTGTCTTTTACACTTTCTTGTCTCTCTCCATCTCTTTCTGGGTATTGTCGCAGACCTTGCCCAGC